GGGGAAGGCACAACAGCGATCCATGAAGACACCCACCCTGCTGGTCCCAGGGGCAGCAGCCCACCCTCCTCAAACCGTGCCGGATGCTCGCACCCACAACCGCCTGGCCCTGGGGAAAGGAGGCAGCAGGACAGGAGGAGAGAGCTGAGCAGTGGCTGGCCCCTTTGCACCACTGCACCTGTCATGCGAGTGAGCAAGGCCCTGGCACCCAGCAGCAAGGCCAATTTGTCCTTGCTGGGATGGGCTCTTCCCCTCCACCACTTCAGCTGAGTGCGGGGAGCAAGCCCTGGCAAGGAAAGCCAGCTGCCTCCTGTGTAAGCCTGGCCCCATACGTGTGCATGGGTGCAAGTGCGCTCACCAGTGCAGGTGTACCAGGTCTGGATGAGGCCCCAGATGATGTTGCTGCACTTGTCACACGTCTGCTTGACACTCTTGCTCTTCTCCTTGTAAAAGCGATGCTCCAGCAGCACCCGGATGTTGGGCTCGTCCTCACTGGGGTCCTGGGGTACGCACGGGTGTCAGGGCAGAGCCTGAAGCCATGTGCGGAGGAGCCGGGCCATCCGCTCCCCCAACCATGGGGCAAGGGGCAGCTGGGGACCGGCTGAGCCCATGCTCCCAGGCACCTGCGGGTTGCGTGGAAACTCCGCTCCACACCCCTGTCTTGCTCAGCCTCTCCCACCCAGGCCCGCGGTGGGGGGCTTTGATGCATGACCCAGTTCACCCCAGCCTGGGGCAGCAGGGAATGGCAGACCTCAGCCTGGCAGCCCACGGGAGGCAGTCGGTCCAGACCCCAGCGACCATCCAAGGGGTCTGCGCTCCCCACCCAGCCCTCCTGAGACGGGAGACTCCCCAGCCAGCTGCTGCACGGGCCCAGCCCCGCAGCCCTACTCCCGCATGCGGCACCTTCAGCTCTTGGAGCTTGAGGCGCAGGTGGATGAGGCGCACGACGGCGTCTTTCTGCCTCTCCGAGTGCTCGGGCAGCTCCAGGATTACCCGCTTGCACTCCTCGATGGCCTGCCGCAGCTGCTGGATGTCCGAGGCCAGGAACAGGCCCTGCGGGCAAGCAGGGCATGACTGTGAGCCCCACGACACTGCCCACCGGGAAACAGACACTGGCCGGGCAGGCAGCACGACCCCGGCCACGTTCGTGCCACCGCCAGGCCGAGCCTCCGACACCCAGGACCCCCCCAGCCTCCATCCAGCCCTCTCCAGGGACCCACCACGGGGCGGGAGAAGTGGTCCTCGGCCAGGCCCAGGTCCATCACGCGCTCCGTGCACTGAAACTCTGGCTCCGCCTGCGACAGATCCAGCAGCACCTCTGCCAGGGGGGAGAGGCCCGGGGTGAGCAGGGAAAGCCTCCTTTAAGGGCGGAAGTCAGCCCCGCCGTGGAGCAAGCGCCAGGCCCAGCCACATGCTCATCATTGCTGCCGATGCCCGGCGGGGTCCCGCCCAGGCTGGGACAGCGAAGGGCACCAGGCACGCTCCCTACCTGGCCCTGCACCCGCAGCCCCGGGAGCCCAAGAGAAGCCCGCGGGGCTCCAGGAGCCTGGGGACGGGGCGGCGCTCACCTCGACGGGCCAGGTCCTCGGTAGCGTCCCCGGCCTTCTGCTCATGCTGGCCCTGCCCCAGCTGCTTGTTGAAGGGGTTGAGATGAGCCTGTCGAAAGCGCGCCAGCTTCTCGTCATATTCCATAGCAGGCCCACCTGCCGGACGGACGGACGGACGGAGGGAGGGAGGGAGGGAGGGAGGGAGGGAAGGCACCGTGGGAGGCAGCCAGCGCCGCGGC